TACACTACGCACCGCCACCAGCCCCCTCCACAACCCATCCCCCCACCACGACCCAACCGCCTGCGCCGAGGCGAGCCACCCGGCCCCAGACCAGAGCCCCTGCGAGGTAGGCAAAACGGTCGGAAAGTGCCTCCCATACTACTCGCAAATTTTTATTCGTTGCTGCTAAAATTTTGTTGATATTCCAGTGATGAAAATATTTCGTTGATGCGAAGAGGCTGTTTTCCCGGTGCAGTTTTGGAGCTGCGCCATTGCAGCGCACCGGGTCGCGGGTCCAGTGGGCCGCCGGCATGCGTCTCGGGTCACTGTGCGCCGCGTAGAAATATCCGTGGGAGAGACTCGATATCTTCGGTCATAGTCCGGTCCGCCCCGGGGTAGAGTGGAAGTGGAGTGGACGGATTGACCCGCGGGACACCCCGTCGTGCGCGTGGCGTCCTATGAATGTATGAATGTAAACACAGACATAGGCGAGGGAGAGTAAAGTGACGCATTTCAGCCCAAATAAAAATAGTGTATCGCACGAATCAATCTAAAACGGCAATCCATTTTGTATGTAGTAATTATGTTATATCACACACCAAACGTATCGTATCAGCAACAAAACCTGCTTACCTGAATTTTTAGAAAACATATCTTTTTCTGTGCACTGTGAAAAAAATCTCTGTAGATTTACAAAATATTTTGTAATTCAAATTTACAAAATATATCGTAAATTTACGACCGCCGATTCTTGCTCGTCACTGAATTTTGAGTCGATGGGGCATGCTTGTAATTTCACATTTTCGTTTTCTTATTTTACGGTCTCTGTCGTGGAAAATTTTCCTGTAAAATGTACCAAATTTGTTCAAAGTGTGTGTGTATCCATTGTTTTTGACGCGCGCTCTGCTCCGCAGCCTCGTCCCTGGGCGCGGCCGTGACCATGCCCATCTGCGGCCAGCTGCTGGCCACCTGGGGCTGGGAGTCCACCTTCTACGTGACGGGCGGCGTCGGGCTGCTCTGGTCGCTGCTGTGGTTCGTGCTCATCTTCGACTCGCCGGCGCAGCACCCGCGCATCAGCGACGAGGAGCGCCGCTTCATCGAGCAGGCCCTGGGCGACAGCGTGCGCGGGGCGAGCAAGGAGGTGAGCGGCTGAGCGGCGCCTATAGGGGTCATCCATAAAGTGCGTCGGCCATGGGGCTGTAAGAAATTGCCAAGTAGTATACAGTACAGCGTCAAGGCGCCTGTTGGGTAGGCAACATCATGGCTGAGCTGCATATGTGTGCCGCGGGATTGCCTACCCCGAGTTTCGCAGGCGGTACCTCTTCTAAGTAGCCTCAATTAATCTGAGAAAAAAACCGGGAAGGTGGACTAGAGCCCCGCCCTATTTGAGCCCGGATAACTTGAGCCCCGACCAGTACCAGACATGAGCCCGGACATGAGCCCGTGCACCAT